ATAAATTAACATTTATTGCCTATAAATGAATTTTACTTAACATGTATTGCACAAATGAGAAGAGTAAAAGCTGCAAAAATATTTTAGTCCAGAATAAATTCTGTTATATATAAAATACATATTTTATATCATTATTTGATATTATTTGGTATTATTTTGTATAATATTTAAAATATATAATGTATTATTATTAGTAGTAGTAGTATTAATATTATCATTCATTCATTTTCATTTCGGCTTAATCCCTTTATTAATCTGGGGTTGCCACAGTGGAATGAACCGCCAACTTATCCAGCATATGTTTTACGCAGCGGATTCCTTTCAAGCTACAACCCATCACTGGGAATAATCCATAAACACTCATTCACACACACACACACTACGGACAATGTAGCTTACCCAGTTAACCTATATGACATGTGTTTGCACTGTGGTGGAAACCAGAGCACCCGGAGGAAAACCATGCAAACACAGGGAGAACCTGCAAACTCCACACAGAAATGCCAACCGACCCAGCCGAGGCTCGAACCAGCGAACCTTCCTTCGAGGCAATTTTGCTAACCACTGCGCCACCATGATGTCATTATTATTATTATTAGTATTATTATTATTATTAGTATTATCAAAATGTTTGTGTTTTATCACACTTAATTTAATTAATTATTGAATTAATATTTAAATGATTTCTCTCTCGCACATACACATTTTTTTTATACATTAATAACATTTTTTATACATTAATAAAAATTTTTTTTATTAAATCTGAATGGTCTAATATTTCCAAATGCAGTATTTAAAATGGTCTTGTGACATTAATACACATTTTCTCTCTTTTTACTTGTATTTAAATGTTAGAGTTTGCTAAAATTATCTTACCAAGGGCCTGTAAAAACTCATCTCTCACAGTACACTCTAAATTTCGTTGAGGCTTAATCAGGCATGAAGTGGAAAAACACTGACATGAGCAAAGACCATCTTTTAAAGTGTCTTTTTATTGAGGCTGACATTAATAGTCTGTTTTTTATGGGAAGTTTGAGTGGTGTTAATGGGTTTGGTTGCTTGCCAAAGTGTTTGTAAAACTTTTAGCCCTGCTTACAGTATGAGCAGGATGAATGAGATGGGATGAGATGGAAATGAATTAAATGTGATCAAATGGAATGGAATAGAACTAGATTAAATGGAATAGAATGATGAAAGAGATAGAATGCTAAAGAATGAGATGGAATGGATACAAAGAAAATGGAATGGAATGAGTAAAACAGAGCGAGACTGCAATAACCTTATATTTATTTAAAAGGCTCAATATTTGAAATTTTATTAATGTAAAACCAGTCTTTTATGCTTCCAGAATAAGTGGCATGGTGGCTCAGTGGTTAGCACTGTTCCCTCACAGCAAGAGGGTCACTGTTTTGAGTCCCAGCTGGGTCAGTTGGCATTTCTATGTTCTCCCGGTGTTCGCATGGGTTTCCTCCAGGTGCTCCGGTTTCCCTCACAGTTCAAACACATGCGCTATAGGGGAATTGAATAAACTAAATTGGCCGTAGTGTATTAGTGTGTGTGTGTGAATGAGTTGTATGGGTGTTTCCCGGTAATGGGTTGCAGCTGGAAGGGCATCCGCTGTGTAAAACATATGCTAGAATAGTTGACGGTTCATTCTGCTGTGGCGACCTCTGATATAGAGCCCAATAAATAAATGAATGTTTCCAGAATGTGTCTGTGATGTTTTAACATCAATATACCCGTCGGATAATTTATTAAACCATGTTAAAAAATTTTGGGTCAGAGGGAATTGTAGCGGTTTTTGCGCCTCTGCCTTTAAATGCAAATGAGCTAGTTCTTCCCGGCCACTAGAAGTAGCAACTCCCCGCCCTTTTTTGGGACATTCTCAGGGCATGTTTGACAGTATGACCACCAAACAGGTTCATATGCTGCTGTATATATATCCGTTATAAACGAGTTACTCTACAAAATAAACCTGATTTAATATTGTGTGATTGAAGCATGGGCAACAGCAAGACGGTTGCTGTGAGAAGTCGTCTCACAGCAAGAAGGTTGCTGGTTCAAGTCCTGTCTGAGTCAGTTGGCATTTCTGTGTGGAGTTTGCATGTTCTTCTCGTGTTGGCGTAGGTTTCCTGAGGGTGCTCCTCCACAGTCCAAACACATGCACAATAGGTGAACTGAATAAGCTAAATTGATCATAGTGTGTGAATGAGTGTGTATGGATGTTTCCCAGTACTGGGTTCTAGCTGGAAGGGTATTCTCTGTGTAAAGCATAAGCTGGCGGTTCATTTCGCTGTGGCAAACTCTGATGAATAAAAGGACAAAGCCGAAGGAAATTAATGAATGAATGATTGAAACATTCTCGTTTATAGCTGTGTATACGATGCAGATATGCTGATTTCAGGGCTTGTTTATTATGGGGCTCAGAAAGTATTTCAACATGCTATAAAGAATTCAAAGTGCAGCACTTAGTCTGAACAGATCTTTTAATCTCAGTATTTTTGCAAATCCTGTTTGGTGGGCATGATTATACACTGAGACATATATTATACAAACACACACACACACACACACACACACACACACACACACACACACACACACACATATATATATATATATATATATATATATATATATATATATATATATATATATATATATATATATATATATATATATATATATATATATATATATATATATATATATATATATATATATATATATATATATATATATATATATATATATATATATATATATATATATATATATATATATATATATATATATATATATATATATATATATATATATATATATATATATATATATATATATATATATATATATATATATATATATATATATATATATATATATATATATATATATATATATATATATATATATATATATATATAT